GCCCCGGAACCTCGGGAGCTAAAACTTGAACCCAAAGGTCAAGGTCTGAGGTTCAGACTGAGGTCGGGGTTTGGGCTCGGGTTCAGGGTTGGGTTGGGATTGAGGTCGAGTTAAGGGTCAAAGTCAGGGTTGGAGGATTAGGGTCTGGGATCGGGGTTGGAGATTAAAATTGGGATTAGGGATAGGGTTGAGGTCCCGGAGTCGGGGTCAGAATTAAAGATAAGGGTCAAGGTTTGGGATTGGGGTACTGGGTTAGGGCCTAGGTGGGGTCGTGGTTAGGGTCAGGGCTTATGTTAGGTTGGGATTCGAGGTCGGGTTCAGGGTCGAGGGTCGTGGGTCAAGCTTAGAGTTTGGGGTTGGGTCGCCCCCCAACCCTGACCGGCTACCCAATCTTGACCCGACCTGAATTCCAGCCACGACCATGTTTCTGAACAACGAACCTCGTACTCGATCCCGACCTTGGAACCTGATCCCAACCCTGCCCAACCTCGACCCCAGACTCATTTCATCTCCTACATATAGTGTTTGCCTAGATTATATAATTATCAGAAAAATATTTTCTGCTAACTAGCCAAACACTTAATAATAAGTAAGAAAATCACTTATTTTTTGAAAAAAATATTTTTCAGGAAATTATTTTCTATTAAAATTTTTGAGTCTTGGTTTCGATTTTTCCAGATGTATTAGAAACCCTTTACCTTACCCCCCCCTTTATGTATAATATACTAAGTTGTGGACAAACAAAAAGGAGGAAAACAAGACAATATTTTTTAGAAAATTAATTTCTGCGGAAAACATTTTCCATCATACCAAACACACCCTTATAAGTTAACCCAAAAAAAGACTAGAAAGACATCGTACAACATTTGTTGCATAGAAGAAGAACAAGTCTTATAAAATTGATAGAATGGACGTTAATTAAACATTTTTATACAGTTTAGGAATAGGAAAAGTCAATTAAATGGTTCCAGATGATTATTAGTTATTGGAAAATGATTGATAGATTGCCATCCAATAGGTTTATTGACTCATTTTGCTGTGGACTGGGTTTCAGTTTATTTTTCCTTGTAATATTTGTGACCAAATATGTTTGCATCTACAATCAAACAGGTAAATAGGAAAATATCTGGCTACAATATTTAAGCAAAAACATATCTGGGACAACAGGTACAAAATCATACTTTTGAGTTACATGTGGAATAAATAGTGAGCAGCCTACCAAGTAGATGTTTTCAAAAACATGGAATTTGAGAAGTCTGTAGTAGTTACAATAGCAAACAATCAAATATTGCATATTGTTTTGCAGCTTTTGGATACATGCTCTCTATTGTATCATCAGTCATCTATACAAATTGTGAGAAATAATATACTACACCACCTTTGTATGCCTAATCAAATCCAACTACCAAAAGGCTCAACCTATTGTATTGGAGGCTTTGAATGTTGTATAGCTCTGCATTAACCAAAAGTTTACTTCACATGTTGAAAATAATCAACATGTTAAAAATCGCGGAATGTTCTATCCAAAAGAGAGGTCCTTTGGAATGAATTAAGGAGCTGGGATGAAATATATATTGGCTCGTACCATGTGTACTTCATCGCTCTCTTAGCCTCGTTCTATGTAAACCTTCATCGCGTCTTTTTGGCAGACTTCGGGTTTTTCAACATCCGTATACTTGACGGAGTAACTTCAACAAGCTCGTCTTCTTGAATGTACTCTATGCAATCATCCAGACTATAATCTAGTGGAGTATCAAGAACCACTGCATGTAACGACAAGGGACTTCAGTTAGTATGAGGCGGACAAAAGCAAAGACGTACCGTCAGAATGTTAAGTTCACAAGAAAGATTTCATAATTAATCAGAAAGAAAAAAAAAAGGGAACTATTTTCTCCCCTCATGCTATCAGGATAATATTGGAGTCCCTTGAAAGCAGAATTTAACTAGAAACCAAATTTGAGGAGCCCCCACTCAAGGAGAAGCATATTTTCCTCTACTTAACAGCTCGAATTTTCAGAATCTTAAGCTCTCTGATACGCTAACTTTGTATATGGGGCCAAAATGTGGACAAATTTTTTTCTTGAACAATTTATCTCATTCTATAGGAAACGGTTAAGATTCTTCACCAACATCTCTGGTGATGACTTTACCTGTTACTTCTTTGTTTGAACGAACATTTGTCGCAGCCTTTTTCTTGCAGACATTCAAGGCAAGGTCACCTGGCCGTTGGTGAATACCAACTATTTGACCTTTATAAACATCCACTCCAGGGCCAATAAACAACTGCCCTCTATCCTGAGAACTCATGAGAGCATAGGATGTACTCGTTCCGTCCTCGAATGCAACCTATGATGATACAAGTGAAATTTAGAATGTATTATCACTCTGTCCAGAAAAAGAAAAGAGCTGAGATTCAGAGTATGAGGATAGCTGAATCTAATTTTTGGTGTGAAATTGCACAATCAATTTCTTTAAGTTTTTAAAATAAAATTTACATATTTTAAATTACATAAAACTACTAAAAACACATTTTTAAAATTAAAAATTATTTTATAGAAATTTGGAAAAACATGGACTATCACCTATTCAAGGATTGCTACGACGTAAACCAATAGAAGATGTGATCTACACTGAGAAGGAGATTGCTCAAGGTGGGAAATTACCAGTGAACCTAGATCACGAGTGGAAATATCACCGCCCCATGGTCCATAGCTATCAAATATTGTGTTGAGAATTGCTGTGCCTCTAGAAGCTGTCAAGATTGAATTCCGCAATCCAAGAAGACCTCGGGTTGGTATTTTATATTTGAGCAAAGTTGTCCCTTCAGACCTAATAGATAAATTGCATCAGTGTCTTCTGTTCATTAAATAAAAATTAAAAAGAAGTCTGCAGCTCAAAACTACAATGCCTCTTAAAAACCCAATTGAAGAAGTGAAATGTAGAGGTACTAAGAAATATCACAAAAATGAGCCTGGTATATAACATAATCTCACTATAATGAGAATGCCAAATACCAATAAAATAAAAATAATTAAAAGAGCCTCAACTTTCAACAGAACTAAGACCTTGTTCTGGTTAACAACATACAATTATCTCAGAAGACAACAAACTATTGAATTGCCAGATCTAGATAGGAAGGATCTGATTTGAAGGACCAGTACGATTGTGTAAGATACCCCCAAAGCAATTTTTTTAATCTATGCTTGGAATAAAGTTGGCAAAAGAACAACTACTTCCCTAATTTCCTAGTGGAAAATTCATGACTCTTCCCAAATCTTCACAATTGAACTTATCTTAATTATCTCCTGTTACAGCATGTGAAGATGCCAAACTTTCTCCAGTAAGCTAATAGAATTCTTTTACCAACTTATCATTCTGAAAATTATCCGGTCAATCTGACAATTTTCACTTACCCAAGCCCTTGCATATCAATCATTTGCCCACGCCTTCTCCCCAGAAGTTCAACCACAGACCCCATGTGTTCCTCAGGAACCTCAACAGTAGCAATCTGCAAATAAGGAATCCAGATGTCAAGACTAAGGAGAACCCCAACCATTAATAGAGATTAAACATTACTTTTCCCAGTATACAAGATAACTCGTAGACAGTACCAGAGTGCAATACTTGACCATCTTCGAGATGTGTATGAGTGGATAGTGATTTTAATTTAAAACAAAATTCTGTTTAATCCAGTTATTGCAGAAAAGACTTTCTAATTCTCCCTCAGCACAAGTGACAAGAAGAGAATGCTAGCCACTGGACAATTTTGAAATACATATGTCGGATTCTACGTGCAGCTTCTCCAATGTTTTCTCTACGGGGTGGGGGAAGAGGGGCTTAGGATAGGTGAAATGTTGGCAGGGCGGAAATATTAATATACTGAAAATGATTCTCCATTTCGGCCAGTTCTACACAAAGCAAAGTCAGCCAAGGATTACCTCATAAGGTTCCAGCAACTTGTCACCCTCTTTCTTATTTATCACTTTGGGAGGTCCCACCATGAACTCATATCCTTCCCTTCGCCTGAACATTTCTGATCGTTAGTATGAGTAAGATAGAATGGTCCAAGGCATGTGATAGTACTTTCTTACATGTTCTCTATCAGTATGGTGATATGCAGAGTACCACGTCCACTGACAATGAATGTATCTGCAGTTTCACCATCTTCAACTTTCATTGCCAGATTTCTTTCCAGCTCACGGTACAACCTGTCTCTTAGGTTTCGGCTAGTGACATACTTCCCCTGAAAATTGTTCAAACATTTCCCAAAAAAGCAAGTTATATCTGTGCTAAAGTGGTGAAATCCTCTTCAACTAAAAGTAGGCATTGTTCTCAAATTCCGCTTTCAACACAGGATGCGCAATGTATCATGTTCTCAAATCTCAATTGCTATCTACGTTAGAGCTGATGTTAAAGCATAACAGACAAATGACGCACAGAGAAGGAAAAGAAATTATGTTCATAGATATCGAATGGACTATGATAAAATGAAACAAAAAATGTGGGCGGTAGAAGTTTGGCACAACTTCAGACTGACTAGCTTCTGGTATTTACATGATCATCTTTTAATAAATAAAACGGAATTATTTGTCTCATGTTTACTCATTTTTGGGTCCAACGGCAGGGGCTTTCTAATGTCATTTAGCTTCTATTCCCTCCGTATCATTTAACATAAAAAAGTTTTGATTTTTAACTCTTGTTAACTTAGACTCCTGTATTATACTGACGGTACTGGAAGAAAAAATTTAAACAACAGAATTTAGAGAAAGGAAGGCATACAATACTCTAGGCGAATACCACATCCACATGTCCTAAACTTTGCTGACGCATTTTACAGCCGTACAACCTAAGACCACTACCGATATTGTTCACTTTGCGTCTTGTCTGTACATGTAATCAGGACTTGGGCCTAGGTTGCATGGATTTAAAACACACCAACATGGCCTAAGGTACTTTTGATATGGAATTCGCCTAGAGCATTAAATACACCCTCCCTCTTAGGCACGTAGTGTCCTCACTAAGGTACCACACATTGACTCTGATTACATAGGTAACAACCTAACCTACTGTGATATTGCTTGCTGGCTTAGGATCGTACCGCTTTAAAAAGGAATCTCTATGCTCTAATACTTGCCTAAGTTGGCCTAAGTTGTTATATACCCAACATTGGCCTAAGTTGTTATATACATACCCTCTTAAGGACTTAGCGTCCTCGCTGAGGTTTGCCCAACTTTCCTCCAAGATTGGACGCAGAGTGGTTCTGATACCAAATGTTACAGATCAATCCACTAGTGTCATTGTTTAGTTTGGGCTTATGTTTGCACGATTTTAAACGCGTCATCAGGGTCTAAGACATTTGTCAATGTAAGATTTGCCTATGGTGTTACACACACCTTTAGGAACTCAACATCCTCCTGGCGCTTGCCTTACCATTACACAAGATTGCATGCAAGTGGCTATGATACCACATGTAACAGCCCAGCTCACCAAGTCATATGTTTTATTTTGACTCTCGGCCCGCACAATTTAAAAGGTGTTAATGTGGTCTACGGCTTGCTTCCTTATACACTCAGCATCTCTTTTGTGTTTTCCTTATGTGAGATTTGCCTTAAAGTGTTGCACTGTAAAAAAGACGGAGATCATCTTGCCCCCCCCCCCCCCCCC